AGATTTGAGAACATGCATGTTCTCAAGTAAAAAGTAAAAATTAATCTAATTCACTTATTTAGGTAGATCAACGGAGGATGGTTGCTGGAAAACAAGCAGAAAAGAGGTGGATCTGTTTTATAAATATTGTAATTAAACTTAAAAGGTTGTAATAATTATATAATTGATCTTGTGTTTTCTACTCAAACTCTCAACCATTGATAAATTATGATAGACAACTAAATTCAATTCTCACTTTTAACAAGAGTTCATTATTCGCATTTGAACCCTTAATATAAATATAAATATAAATAAATACACACATATAATGAAATGCATGTAGATCCACCCATCTGTGTTGATCAAAAACTTGTAATTTAAAAAAATAAATAAATAAAATTTTACAATAGCATTTTGATGAATAGTTTAAATTTAAAATGCATTGCATAATAACAAACAGTACAATCATGAATATGTAACTGTGCCTCCCAAATGTTCTGTCGGGTCGGGGTGTGAGGGCCCTTAGGGTTGGGGTTCAGCCTTTTGGAATAATGAATATGTAACTGTGCAATACATTTATAGTGTTGCACGATACACTTCTAAAACTTCAGTTTAATTTGAGTGTATGTTTACCTATCAACAATTGTAATTATAGTTGTTATGTGATACACACAGCCTTATCCCCTTAGCTTTGAGCTATTATATTTTTCTACTTTTTATTTTGTGTGTCCAATCAATTGCAGAAAGTCATTGGCATCACATGCGAGTAAAAGTGCTTCCACCACGTACATGAAATGTTTCAAAAAACAATTTCTGGGTCATAGCACGTGCGATTCCTTAATTCAACTTTAGAACCTTCTTTGGAATAAATAGGCTAAAAAATTATTGTCATCAATCTCCCCATTTTGTCATTCAAAGTCACATGATTCTGTAACTTTTCATAAAATTTCATAAAAGGGGGTTTTCAATTAATTAAAGACAGATAGAATATATATATATATATATATATATATATATATATATATATATATATATAGGGTTGCATTCACATGCAAACACCTTTAAAATACAAACGTTTGGACAAAATCTAACCTTAGGATTAGAGAGTTTGGATGGATTAGATTTAGCCAAATATAACGCAATGATTATGATCTCATATTTAGGAAGGGGTAATAAGGAGGTAAGCCATGCAAAATGTAAATATGATTAGAATTAGAACTCAATATCTCCCAGGATTTTGAGTTTTCCAATTTAGGTAGGATTCGAAATTGAGAATGTAATTCCTCTAGGAGCATACGTCAACTTCGGTAACGCGGCCATAAGCGAAACTCAGATTACATTGTATGCACTGATTAATTCCTAAAATGCTCGTATTACACTGTGCGCATTGTAATACAGAAGTGTGTGCTCGTGTATATATATATATATATATATATATATATATATATATATACCAAATACGGGACATAAGGGATAGCAAATAAAATTAGTGCATAAAATATTAAATATATACTATTATTGAAGAGCTAACTGTTGATTGCCAAACAAGGACATTGGGAGGTAGTTTCCCACTTCAATTTGCTGTGTGATTTGAATACTCTTTTCGTCAACAAATCCCCCAAGTAGTTAATATGATTGGCTTAATTATATTTTTTTTATTTTTTAAAACTATTATTATTATTATTATTATTATTATTATTATTATTATTATTATTATTATTATTATTATTATTATTATTATTATTATTATTATTATATATTATTTATATCCTTAGATCATTTTACATGTTAATCTAAACAGCTAATTTTTTCAAATATCTTTTTACCAATCTTTGATATAATCCGCTGGTCAAATCCGCTAATATAATCCGCTAACGGCGGATTATCAAACAAGGACATTGCGAGGTAGTTCTCACTTCAATTTGTTGTGTGATTTGAATACTCTCTTTGTCAACAAATTCCTCAAGTAGTTAATATGATTGACTTTATTAATTATATTTTTTGATGGTATTAATAAAATACTTGGTAAATAAATATATAACATTATTTTGTATTATAACTTTGATATTTAATTAAAAAATAGTGCACAAAAAGATAATAGACAATGTAGTGAATATAATCAATTGATGAATTTGAATGTAAAGAATTTTTACATTGGAGAAATATAAAGACAATATAACTAATAAAATTATTTCTCTTAATTAATTTATTGATAATAAATAATTTTTTTTAATAAAGACATTGTAGGGACAATGTAGCAAATATAATCAATTGATGAATTTGAATGTAAAGAATTTTTATATTGGAGAAAAATAAAGACAATATAACTAATGAAATTATTTCTCTTATTTAATTTATTGATAATGAATAATTTTTTTTTTGAATAAAGACATTGTAGACACATAATTCTAAATTAAAGAAATGCATATGTATTATTTTTTATTGTAGCTACTAAATTATTATTTTAATTTAATAAGAGTAAAATAGAGTACTAATTATGTCAACTTTGATTGGGATGTGGTTGGAACCTAAGACCTTTCTTGTTGAAATCAATGAGTAAGTTAACATGCACTAACAGAATAACGGAAAAGATAATATTTAACGGAAAAGTTAACGGATAATCATATCATTATGGATAAATTAGGAAATCTTAAAGGAAAAATTAAAATCTGATCAATCTGAGTCATTCATTTGATTAAAAAATTTGATCGTCATTTTTTCTACCCATTATAGGTCTAACTCTCTTGGGCTCTTATTAATATAGTAGATAGTAGATATAGAAAGGTTCAAGTGCGGCGGTGCTGCGTCACCAATAATTCAACAAATATACACCATCAACTTTAAGAAAATACACCAAAAAACACACACAAATTAGGTACGCATCACCAAAAACACACCATTAGGTGTGATTAAAAACACCATACAGTGTTCGAAAATATACCATTGGGGGTGGTGAGTTATATGATGTATTTTTTTTGGGTCTATTGTGTATTTTTTTTTTTTTTTTTTTTTTGCATTTCATTGTGGTGTGTTTCCCTTATACTGTTGGTGCCGCATGTTGTTAACCACTGTTAGTGTATTCTGAAATTTCGCCGCACGGGAAGACCCCGTCGCATTTGAACTTTCTTTTATATATATATATATATATATATATATATATATATATATATATATATATATATATATATATATATATATATATATATATATATATATATATATATATATATATATATATAGTCGCGTTCTGGTGCGAATGACGCACCCATAAGCGAATATGCGAACCAATCAGCACGCACCACGTGCCAAAATATAAATTAAAATTAATTCAAAATTAATTCCTACGAATCAAAATTAACACTTCCAGGACGGTACTCCGAAGAGTCTTTCGAGCAATATCCACGAATAGTTGCCAAATTGAATGGTCAACAAAATTGAAGTGGCTCTAAGTTAGCAAAATATACAAAAATTTGGCATAGTTTAACCCAAGATAACATATATACATTCATGCCCATAGGTGCCACAAGCAAACATTAAGCATTTTCAAGCTCATTTAGCAATTTGATTTGCACCCCTTCCTACATGAGAACGAGCCTTAATGCTATACAATTCATTTTCCTTTTAAAAGGTTCTTACATATATAGTGGTGCAAACCCTCTTCCCAAATCAATGTAGGGCAAGTGCTATTTACAAAACATTTCAACCTTCATTTCCAACTCAAATGAATCTACTTTTAGAATCAAGTTCTCATTCACTTATTATTCGTTTTGAGTGTACAATATATCGATCTCTTCGTCTTGCTACGAAGAACCCGAATCCACTTTGACCCGGCCCAAATCAGAAGTGGATCTCACATATATTTGTACACCAAAATAGTCACTTTCTATGCCATTTTATGTTAAAAATTTCAACAGATAATTTAATAAATAAACTAATATATTAATACCAGGACTACGTGGTCTAATGGTATCCGGGTTGGACTTCCAATTGGAAGATTATGAGTTCAAGCCTCAGTGGAGGCGTTATTGGTTCTCTGTGTTTCAGTAGGTTGAGAAAGTATATGAATAGATACTACAATGTAATAGAGCCAGTAACTTTCAAAAAAAAAAAAAACTAATATATTAATGCCTTTTAAAGTCGATCATTTTATAGGTTACCCACTAGGCCTATGTAGCAAACACTTTCCTACAAATTACTAATATTACAAACTAATCAAAACAATAACACAATCGACTGTTTAAAAAAAAATTAACACAATCAACTATCAATTAACAGTTGATGTAAAACCTCCCTAATTAACACGCACACAGAGCTAGCTTATTATTATTATTATTGCCAACTTTGACCACACATAATATATTTATAAAAATAAATTGTTACAGTATATAACCCCTGAACCCTCCATCCTGTGCAATATAAATATAAATGTTTCACAATAATAATAATAATAATAATAATAATAATAATAATAATAATAATAATAATAATAATAATAATAATAATAATAATAATAATAATAATAATAATAATAATAATAAAAGATTTAGTCAATCGTTTCAACTATTTTCACAGTTAATCAAAATCAAATCGTTTCCCTAATCAGGACTTCAACATTAAAAAAAAAAAATGATATGGAGTATAATAAATAAATAAAAGGATAAGAGTCAAATAGGTCCTCACCCAAAACAGCAATTAGATCATCAATATATAAAAGTTTCAATTGAATCCCTCAACTTGTCAAATTAATGTTATCACGCGTTTTACCTGTAACCGTACGGTTAATGCTGACATAAGTAGCCACGTGGACTAAAAAAAAAAATCTTAAAAAAAACTACCTGTAAGGCTGTAACCACACCGGAGACGACTCCAGCAATCTGAGCATCACCAACCTTAGAGCCATCATGTCTGGCCGGGGACAGAAGTAGACGACGGAGTCTCCAACTGCGACGGGACGGTATAATTTGACATATACGTAGAAAATTTCAATTTGATATTAAATCTTAAAGGCATATAAATGTAAATTAGTCCGGTATATAAATTAATGTTACATAAAAATTATACATAAAGTACACCATACTATGATTGATGTACTAAGTAATATATATAGTGCATACATCATGTCATGTATATATATGGTACATCTGTATATATATTTCATAAAATCAAAACACCTAAAATTAAACTAGCTAGGAGAATTACATTAAAACTATATTTAAAAAAAAAAAAAAAGATGTGAAAAAAAAAATAATAAAAGAAGTTTATGATCAATGGATAAAGGTTAATCAATCATCAACTCTCATGGCTCTTGCTTGAAAATCATGGAGGGAACCATATCTTGAAGCAAGCCAAAGTCAGGGTGGATTTGATGCATTTGAGTTAGATTATTTTGGTGCGGCTGAAACATCATGGAGGCGGCGGCGCCGCCGTAGAGGTGGTGGTGAAGCGGATTATTAATCTGGGCCATTATCAGCTCCGGAGGGAGGGCGCCGCCGCTGCCGCCGTGTGGCGGCGGTGGTCCACCGAGCAGCGAGGAGGTCGGTAGCATGGAGGGCGGAAACATTCCGGCGAGGCTCCCCCGGAGGTTGGTGGGGATGTGGTGGTCGTGCTGGCCTTCGTAGGTGGTGACCACCACGGAGGGGTCTTGGTATGACCTCTCCACGCGTTTCTTCACCGGGCATTTTTGACTTGTGCACCTGTAATAGCTTCTGCATTCACACAATAAATAAATAAAGTGAATCTTTAAGTAAATTTAACAAGAAACCTAATATATAGTCCAAAACATTGATATATCTAGCTACCACCATAAAAGGGGACAATACACAATTCAAGGAATGTGGAAAATTGAACATATATTGACTAGAATATTGCCAAACTATATAAAAAGAAAAAATCAAAATAGATCAATCTAGTTTCACACACTCAAACTAAAAACTATAAGACAAGTTGAGTGTGCAATTAAACTATACGGACTTGAGTTTGAGACAAAAGGCTGGGAGTTCAGACTCGAAATTAAACAGTTGTTCTAAATAGGGTTACAATCACTAGCTTCAACGATGTTTGTTTGAATGACCAGAAAAATCGATCTAAAGCTATGATCTGAGGGTGTGGTGGGTAAATCCAGCCTTGTGATCGTAGCTGGGAAATACAATTGTTTGGACTTGATGAAGTTACTTTCTAGGGTGTTTGTATGGTAATAGTAATGTACAAATGAAAGTAACATATATATACATACCTTGGATAAGGGCTATTCTTCACAGCTTTTTGGCCATATTTTCTCCATCTATATCCATCTTCAAGATGATCAACTTCACTCTTTGTCATGAAGGCGAATCGGGGTTGTCGCTGTTTCTTCTCTCCCTTCTTCTTCCCCTTATTCCTAACCCCAGAAACAACAAAACTTATAAGTTTTAATCTCAATCTAAAAAAAAAAAAATGGTAAAACAAAGAATTGGATCGGAGATTGAACTAACTGAACATACTCTTTCTTGGAGCTATTATTATCATCGCCGTCGTCTTCTCCTTCGGTCTCCTTCGCCACCTTCTCTCTCTTGTGCTTTGAATCGTCGTTATCGCCGCCGCCGGCCTCAGTGGAGGAGGAGGAAATGGAGGAGTTAGGAGTCATGGCGACTGGGGTTTCAGAACTACCGCCGCCGCCGGCATCCGTCATCATCGTCGTCACATTCACCGGCCTCCGCTCGCCGTCTTTGGCCGAGGAAAACGGCGGCGGAGACGAGGAGAATCCGACGCCGGCGGACGCTTCGAAGTCGCTGGATCCTTGTAAGAAGTCGGTGAAGCTGATATACGGGCTGGAAGGATCGAGAAGGCTAATCTGATTGTGATTATGATGATGAAGAAAGGAAGAAGAATCCGCCATGGATGAAGCTTGGGCGGTGGAGTAGAGGAAGCCGCCGTGCCGGTCATCTTGGAAGGGTTGGTGGTAGTAGAAATCTCCTCCCAACTCTTCAGCCATGGAAAGTAGAGACAGAAAGAGAGAAAGAGAGAGAGAGAGAGAGAGAGAGAAGATGAGAGAGGGGGGGTTTGACAAAAAGAAATGGTAGTGTGTCTTTATTTAAGCTTTGACAAAGAAGAAGATTTTGGTTGAGGTCTTTTGAATAAACAAATCAATCAATTAATTATTTGATTTTTAATAATAGTTTAAAATAATGTTTTATTACCATTGTGGGTTCCACCTTCTGTAAAGAAGATTTGACAATCCTCTATAGTCCATTGCTACATGTTAACTATGAAGAGTATCTTTCACAGTATTTTTCTTTTTTCTTCCCCCTTTTTCCCATTATTCAAAATTTGAAAGTTATAAATAAATAAATAAATAAGTGTATATATGTGTGCGCGTGCGCGTGCACGTGCGTGTGTGGGTGCGCGTGCATGCTTGCGTGCGTGTGTGTGAGAATCCTAGCCATTCATCTAACGTTCATCACTTGATTTCAACCGTTGGTTGCAATTTTTAATTTATGGTCGATTATGTCCGAATTCACGCATTGAGGGGTAAAAAAAAAAAAAAAAAAAAAAAAAAAAAAAAAAAAAACTACGACATCTTCTCTACTATCTCTGATGTCTTTGCATCTTCAACACATCAATTAATCACTCACAGGCGAGAAGAAGCTTATGAGCTCAAGCATGAAGGAATCGACTATGCATGTACCAATTTCAAAGTTCTGCAAATTCATGCACTTTAAGGAGCAAACTTATGCACCCGGAGTTTCATCTATGCACTTTCAAAGTTTTGCAAAATTATGCACCTAGATCTTCATCTGGGCAATTTTAATATTTTGCAAATTTATGCACCTAGAGTTTTTAAGTTATGCACCTTACAGTTTAAAAGTGTGCTCCAAGTACAAAGTTATAAACATTAATTTTCAAAACTTTATGCACTTTAAGTTATATAATTTTGCACCTTATAGTTAAAGGTGTGCACTTAAGGTACATGTGTGTAAGGGTGATATTGAGAACTTTAAAATTCTTTTTACTAAAATCATTAATCATTGGTTAACCATGATAAACGGTTGAGATTAGTCCGTGCTTTTTACATGACCATGTTCTTATTTGATCATATCCTTTATATATATATATATATATATATATATATATATATATATATATATATATATATATATATATATATATATATATATAGAGGAGTGATCACATGTGGCCATGTTGTTAGGTGTGGTCATATGGTCAATTATAGACCATTAGATTAGATAGATCTAATGAATCATATTAATCAAGATTTTTTCAGTATTTTCACGCACATTTTCCTACCCAGCGAACTGTAAGGGTAAACTTGTCATAAAACACCGGAATAAGGAAAATCACATTGTTGTGTGTTTTATTACACTATTGGTGCATGTTGTCAACATTGTTGGTGTATTCTGGAACTCAACCGCTATAAATGGCCATTGTAATTACCATAACATGGGAATACACCATTAGTGTGTTTCACTGTGGTGTGTTTTATTACACTATTGGTGTATGTTGTCAACACTGTTGGTGTATTCTGGAACGCGCCCGCTATAAATGGTCACTGTAATTACCATAACACCTCCACTTACTAAAACGCGCGAAAATCCTCAGAATTACCACAGCCTTTAGATTAAACTGATTCTACGACACACATACGACCACACGACCACACCTAGTGACATGACCACATATGAGCGTTTTTCTATATATATATATATATATATATATATATATATATATATATATATAGTGTATAAAAGATTAGAGAAGTGGGTAAGGTGGGTAGGGGTGGAGGTGGGGGTGGGGGGATGGATCCAAAGTAGGCAATAAAAACAAAGCAGTATTCAGCTAGCGTAAATAGCCAGAAAGCTGCTAGCTAGCTTCTTGCAATTTAAACGTGGTTTCATTAAGAATAAATACATATATGTCGGCCAAATATATATATATTTTTATCTCTAATTGCATTAATATTAACATCGTTCAACTTGTCTAAAAGCATAAATTTTTTGTATCTTGTATATTATTCCATAATATTTTTAGGAAAAACGAATTATATGTTTGTATGAATGAGAGCGAGAAAACAATAGAAATAATTAATAGGCATCTAATTGTACAGCTGCATCTATATTGATTGAACTTAAATGTTAATTACATGATCACATGCGAAAATTAAACTAATTATGGTAGTGTGGGGTAGGACCTTAGTTTGTAGGAAATTTTCACAAAATATTAGGAAAAAAAAATTTTTCCTCTAAAAATTGATCTGGTAATTTCTCAGTCAATTCAAGATTTATGACACGCAAAAGAAAAAATAAATTTTACTAATGGACCTTAAATATGAGCGCTATGGAGTAACAACTTTGTGATTTGGATCCATTTTGAAACCACTTAAAAAAAAAAAAAAGTAACTTTTACATTTTTACTTGCATAAATAAACATAAATGAAATTGATTATTACCAAAATAAAAAAAAATAAAAAAAGAATCAATTACAATAGAATTGTGATTTGGGGAGTTGTATAAATATACAGTTTTTGGAAGAGTCAAAATGCAAGTATAGAGGTGTGATCTGAAAGGCAGCAAAGTCAGCGACGACGGCCGGTTAGGAGTAACGGTCCGGTCCAGTCAGACCAGGACGATCGGAGACAACAATAGTCAATGTTTCAGACTTGGATCCGAGGGGCATTTTCGGAAAAGCCACCACGTGGGAGGTGGGATATGATCTTTAGCTTATTGGCCACCATCACGTGCTCCTCACGTGTTTTCCCTTGCTACTTGTTAGTTGTTACCGTTTCGATTAGAATTCGAACTTGTAATTTTGTGATTACCTTTGACTAAGCAATGGTTATGTTGTGAAACCGTGTCCACCTTGTAAGATGGACTCTGTTCTATGTTCATAATTACTAAATTATATGTTCATAATAATAAAGCTATATATTTATAATTTTTGAACTTCATATTCATAATTATTGAACTCTATATTCACAATTACAGAACTCTATGTTCATAATTACTGAATTATATGTTCATAATTATAAAAGCTATATATTCATAATTTTTAAACTTCATATTCACAATTATTGAATCTCTATATTCATAATTACAGAACTATATGTTCATAATTTTCCTTGACTAAGATTATGTTGTTTTGCTATTGGAAACCAAGGTCGGCCCTGGCCATATGCAGTCAGGGCGACGGCACAGAACGCTCAATCTTTTTCAAAGTTATATATATAAAGTCATTATTTGATAATTATGTTTTTATACTTCATAGACCGGTCTTAATTATAACTTAAAATAAAATTTTAGAATGAATTGACATTGAAATTTTGGTGAACTATTTTGTATTTTAAATGCACGAAAAATATCATTTTTAAATTAAATTTTGAATTGTATTTTTTTCTTTGTTGAATTTTGTTATAGAATACAATAACTTGAAATTTAAATAGATTTGGACTGAATTACCTTAGTTATAAAGATGTTCTATACTTCTTGCCTCTATAAATAGACAGAGCCCTTATATTTTATGGAACGGCCTTGTTGGAAACAATATAACGTTATCAACCTTGCTAACACTTAGGGGCTATATATACAAGATCCTTAATTAAGTTAAATGGACATCAAAATTTAGGTCACACTTGTGTGAGACCGTCTCATGGATATTTATCCATGAGACAAGTCGGGTCAGATCAACATGCAAATTAAATGTCATACTGATTGCAGTATAATTCTCAAACAAATAATTACCCAGAATATCATGTTATCGATCCACATGGAAGTGAGATGTATCAAGCACTAGTCTAATTTATTCTTGTGAAGTTAATCTTAACGAAAATCATGGATGGTTGATTAATTATAACTAATTTAAAGAGCAAAGAAGAAGGTTTGTGAAAACAATAGAGAGAGAATGAGATTCATGGGATTCAAGTGTTTAATCACCTAGTGTCAATCCAAAGTGCAATATCATATTACAGATTTAAAAGGGTGTTTCAATTTTTTTTGAATTTTAACTTTTTGGAACAATCAGCTGTTACAAAAAGCTAATTAATCAAACACTCATATTGGTTATTTAACCAAGTTAAACAACTAATAATAGAGCAGCTTTTTGAATTTTAGCTTTTTGGAACATTAAGCTGTTACAAAAAGCTAATTAATCAAACACTTATATTAATTGTTTAATCAAGTTTAATAACTAATAGTAGTCAAACAAAACCAAAATTGACTGATAAGCTAACTATGTTACCAAATAGGGTCTTAATCAGACAATGAGTACAGATCTAATAAGGCAAGTATACATTTAATCGCTAACCCTTTGGAATGTAGTAAGAGCATTGCAAACACAAAGTTCACAACATTATATATAGTGGAAAGATGTGTAGTAGGATTGAGTTGTTGATTAAAGACAAATATGGATATGGTGTGCATAGTACGTACGTAGCTGAATTATGACAAGAAAGTTTCATTAAACAATGCAAATCCTAGCTATATATATAATACACAATACGTACTTATAGTAATAGTACATCGTTGTCTCTAATTACAGCCCCACAAGTCCTTCATACTAACCCCCTTGGAGTGTATTAAGACACATTATATTACAAACACGATAGTAGTACTAGATGCATGCACAACATTAACATCCCCAAATGGTTGGGTGGACAAATGTGGATATGGTGTGCGTACTAGCTAGCTAGTACTCGAAAGCAAGTTTCAATAAACATGGCAAATTCTAGATATATAGTATATACACAATAATTATAGCAACAGTGTTGGACTGGGGCTTGGAGAGCCGAGTCTAGCATTCCTCCATCAGACCATGACGCTGACTGTTAAGCAAGTATAAGGAAATAAAGTTATTATGCCTTCGCTACTTGCTATAACGTAGTGGTAAAGGCTTGATCCTAACAATTGGTATTGATGGATACCCCAAAGTAGAGTACCCAGTCAGGTTTGCGCCTTGGCAGTGAGGGTTCACAGTCGGAATATGGAGGACGGGTGGGCTTTAGTAGCATGGACCCGGTCCAGGTGCATGGTCCACTGGGCCGACCTAGTTGAGCGACCAG